CTATGCTGTCATAAAACAAAATAAAATAAAATAAGTAGTAAAAAGATTTCCCAATGGCAATGAAATAAGAAAAACAATTCATGAAATAAAAATGTATTTTGTATTATACAAGAGATATCTTAATATCATATTCAAATGTAATATATGACTTATACCAAGAATATTTGCAAAATATATGCAAGTTATATCACGTAATAAAATGGACAACCGGTAAAGCTAATACATAAGAAATTAAACATCATCAATAAAATTGCATCTTGTTACTTGTCCCTTCCTTCCTACTATAGTTGCTCCTCATCCCCACCAGTTAGTTATTATTCCCCCCCACACAGTTTTTTTCTGTGTTCTGGATCAAAACCAGGCTTTGCAAAAGCTAGTAAACATTCTACCATTGAGCTGTTCTTACCCCTATTTATTGTCTGTTGAATCATGTACACCTGTAGTCATCTTTGTAAAGTGTCTTATTCCCTTCCTGTGCAGAACCGCAAATTAAATCCAATTGGTACAGCTGGCTGTAGCTCTATGTGAGAATGTGCAAGGACTTCAATAATGACGGCACAGTGCACTGAGAGTCTACTTCAGAGACTGCCTACCATATTTGGCAGAAGATTCTAGAATAACACTGATTTCTCTCTCTCTCTTTGGAGATGTTTTGCCCCTCTTCATAGAGTTTTTTTAATGATGTGAAGACAGCAGTAACTAAAACTTTTCTAACTTCACTGTTGAAGTTTTGCAGTTGCTGACTGTTTTGTACTTGGTATTCGATACTTAACTATGATGCAGCTGGATGGAAATTTTAGAAACTTTTTTCTGAATAAAATAGATTCCTGTTGAGTGTCATTTTGCATTTCTGAAAAATCTTGTTTTCTAATCGATTATTGGGACTTATTCACTTCATCCACTCTTTCCTGAATTCTCATAGATCTATATTAAACTACCTTTTAGGAAGTTCTATATTTCTTTGCTTTTCTTATGTTTTCTGTCTGTCTACATTTGTGTGCTGTAATCTGCAAAAATTCTCCACATTCTAGTTCAAAATGCCAAAGTCAAAAATATTGTATGCTTTAAAAATCTACTTTTAACATACCATTTAATATAACATTTGGACAATTTTTTATTTCTTAAAATTCTGTTCATCTTTTATTCAAATTTAATATAACATTTTGGACAATTTTTTATTTCTTAAAATTCTGTTCATCTTTTATTCAAATTTGGGTTTTATTCAATTATTCTTAGTATATTTTTCATTGCCTGCTTAACTTTATGATGGTGTCCTTCGTTTTCTTAAACTTGTCCTATATAGTTGCTTTTGTTCTGTATCTACTAATTCCAGAATCTTTACTCTTTGGAATGTTTATATTTTGAGGCTGTTACTTCTGTTGGCTCTTGTCCATGGTATTTATCTTCTTCTTTGGGGGAACTTGTACTTGTGGACATGTACCTATGGAATTCCTGAAGGTATAACATGGAGCTGCCTTCCTCCAAATGGTGTTTGTTTCTCCGTCTGTTGAGATTCAGCCACTACTTCCCTGGGATTACTTCAGCCTCTATGTGGGTCTCCACAAAGGTCTGAAGTTTACCTTTCTCATGTGGCCCTGGGAAGCGTCTTGTTTTGTTCACCACACTATCACTTAGAGCTGAATGCTTCTGTACCTAAATCGCAGTGAAGACGTTTCTCTCAGTGGTGTCATGAGGACTACTTTCATTTGATTTGACTTCCAAAATGATTTTGTTGTAAATGTCAAAATTAGGGTCTGTAATTTGACTAGAATATGGCTACCACTTTCGAAACCAAATAAAGAACTATGCAGAAAACAGACTACCACTAATTTATCAGTGCGTTATAATATTGGGATCTAGGTAATATGACTACGTGTACTTTCCTTTTCCATTTTTCTCCATTTTAATGTAGGCTATAGTTAACAGGCATAATTTATAAGGTGAAAATTTTTAATTTTTTCAGAGCAGCATATCATTTAAAATCAGTACTTTAATGACTAAATTATAGTTTTCTGAGAAAAAGTTCATCCTGAAACGTTAATGGCATTCACTTTTAAATATCTATGCATTATGCATATCATAAAGGAAATATTCTGAAAGTAAGATATCATAAGAGAATTTTGATGATATGATTACTTGCCAAATTATGCATCATATTTTTTCCACAGATAAAGTAGCTTATACATTTTAATCAGAACCCTAAGAAAGAATAGCACTCTCTGGGTAAAATTTGTTCATTCTTAAATAAGTAAATTGCTTAAATAAGAGCTTAGTATATTTTATGAAACTATCATGACATCAAAACATTATCTTGTGTGAAGTTTGACCAAGTGTCATTCACTGCTACACAGAACTAATTCCCTGTTTCCCTGTAAAATAAGACCTCAGCAGAAAATAATCAGCCTTCAAAATTAAAGATCAAAAACACCAGGCCCAGTCAGCCTCTTCTCAGCTTACCCACGATCACTAATCTCTTCCTTGCTGGCTACTCTGTAAGGCAGGCAAGGAAAAGGTAGGCTGATGGGGATTTGCATTTTTGATCTCTACTTTTCAAGGCTGATTATTTTCCAACTAGGTCTTCTTTTTGGGAAAACATGGTTGTTGATGTGAATGATACATACAGACAGAATAGTTTAGCTGGAGCTCTGTTAATATCTGCGAGACACAGGAATACTGTTGGCATATTTAATCTGAATATGTGTTTTGTCTTTTATCATAATAAATCTTTTTTATTTTAAGGTCTGATTAAATGACAGAAAAGTAAACCAAAGTGTTTAGCAAAGGAGGATCTTTGGTCTATATTTAATTTTGTGTTTTTTCTTGAATCAGGAAGAACCCAGTCTCCCTTCGTCTACACCTATCTGCTCCCTCTGTACCAATACCATTTTGTGACCTGCTTTTTTCTTGTGCTAGCAACATAGCTGTGTTACATCTTCACCACTCCAGTTCAGCAAAAAAATGCATTCTTTTCTCCACCATAGAACTCCAGGGCTTGATTCTCCTTCCAAATCTGTCCAAAGGCATCCTTGAGGATTTCACTGTAACCGGAAGGAAGGTATAATGCAGATTAGCAGAGTTTATGACACGACAGCAAAACACTCAACTCCCAATGGCTTCTAACACTAGTTTTAACATATCTTACATGCATTATGGCCATCAAAAGTAGACTGCTTCCCAATTATGCTCACCCAGGCACTCAGGCAGACAGAGCAACCACTTGTCTGATTGCCACTGGTGACAGACGTCAGACCTTCACATGGAACCCCATCATGCTCACAGAGGAAGCTGGGGATTTTGGTTAATGGTACTAATGAATGCCAAGTGCATTATTTGGCTTGGAGATCTGGGAATAGGGAAGTCCCACCACACTAGAAAGCCTATAGAACCCTGCAGAAGATTTATACTATGCAGAAAAATAGTGAGTAAATAGCTGTTACCAGAAAAACAAAAGTTAGTATTACACTTAATTTACACATTTCTAGTAAATGACCAAGTTTTTGGATTCATTATATTTTGCTACTTGAATATTATTAACTTCCAAAGGTTAAAATTTTACCATTATCTGTAGTTACATCCAACAACCAAAAACTAAATATTTCTCCTTACTCTTGATTTTAAATGGCTGATCCCCTGAAATAACCAGAACAGGCTAAGGTTTTATTTTTGTTTGTTTGTTTCCTCCTTAAACCTTCTAAATCTAGCTCACTTCCTAGTCTCCGGATCATCCTCTGTGAAACTAAGGTGGTTTAGGTTTATGACCCTAGTATTTTTTTTGCACATATACACACACAGAAGAGATGTGGGTTCACACTTGTGCCTTCGTTCTTAGTACCTCATTAGAATGCTTCTTTCTGTGTGTTGTAGCATATTTTTCCCCATAATGATCATTATCAATGTAATTTTCTCCCAAGATGTTTAACATCAAGGTCTTTTCTTCCTTCACTTGTGAAGAACAGATATCCACTTAAATAAACTCAAGTAAAAGTTTTATGATAAAATTAGTCAATCTCTGTTTTTTTCCTTTTTGAGGACTCTGTGGATCCTCTTGATTCTTTTGTTTTCTTCCTTGTAATCTATTCTTAAATTTTCCGCATATGCTCCCTGTTTATTAAGTACTGTATTCTAGGAAAGTGACAAGTCATGATTTTTGGACTTCTTAATAAAATTCCAAAGACAGAAAGTCAGATTGCCTTTGACAGTCAAATCAGTTCTAGTTTGATGAAAAGGGAGAAGTGGCATATGGCACTCATGATTGTCTCTTTGGGGGCCTTTGGTTGGGTGGGTTATGATAGAAGGAAAAGTATGTAAGAAAGTTAATTGACTATGTTTGCTGTAGGAATTAGATTAAAAATTAATATTATTTATCCTGCTACAATTATAAGTGCTTTACAGTTATTCATTCATTTAATTATATGATATAGGTACTATTATTAGCCTCATATTATAGATCAGAAAATCGAGCTACAGAGAAATCAAATATTTTGCCCATGGTCATATGTTAATAAGAGTCAGAGCCACCGAGGAGTTGAAACTGTGCAGGTTTGCATCTTACCTATTGTGTTGTATTACCAGTGTTGGCTATCCTACTGCATCTGAGTGTATGTCTGATCACTGATGCTTCTGAGTGTTCCATTCAACCTCTTTTAAAATGTAAATGAGTAAAATGTTTCTCATTCGCTATGTCTCATCTTTAATATAAGCATTTTCACCTTGTATGCTTCCCTGCATACTTGGCTTCTGCTACTAAACCCACTCTGTGCCTTCCTTTAGTTACATATGGATCACCTTGTACTGGAATCAGAAAACAGTGTGATACCATGAGTGTTATATCTTTCTATCTTTGTATTCTTATTGCCTGGAATAATTTTAATGTACAATGTTTACTTAATGTATTACTACTGGGTTATTCAGTCAGTGAAAGAATGTATGTATTAAATCATTTGATTTATGCTATCATGCTACGTAAAATTTCCTAATTGCTTTCCTGTTACTTTCTATAGGGCCAAAAGTGCATCCATTAGAAAACCTGGGAACAACAACTGTGAAACTCTGAAATTACTGGGATTCAGAAGCCATGACAGTGGTTGGTTTGGACTTGATAACGTTGTGGTGAGAACCATCCAGAGTGGCTTGATATCGTTTGAACTGCATGAACATTTAGAGAGGTAATGGCATTTTAAACAATCAGGGTTGGAGCTATTCTCTCCTGCAGGTTCATAATTGTGGTGTAGAGACGTGGAATTATGGGATTTGATTTTTATTCTTCAAATGGGAATATCAAACCATTGTGTTTTAGGGTGCACTTGAAATGCAAACCATAATTTATGTTATTATGCTGTTTATAATTTCTTTTATAATAGCTTAGCGAGTGCTTTTGGTGACCTAACCACTCATAAACTTACATTTTTATAGGATTCTTTTAGCTCCAAAGTAGTTTTAAAATAGCTCCTTCATTTCTGAAATTCCACGGGGATAGTAATTAACTGTTCCTGTTATGCTCATCCCATAACTATGTATATATAAATGGAATTTGTTATTTCAGTGCCCTCATATTGTTTTCTCATTTCTGTATTTTCTAGACAGCCTATTACGAGGAAGTTTTAGACAGTTTTGAGATTCATCAGCAGCAGACACACATAAAGGGAGGGCAATCACATGCCTAAAGATAGCCTTTATTTCATAAGGAAGACCTTATGTCTCTGATTGTCTTAGATCAAGTTCCCTAGAAACTCAGTATGACATGAGAATTCAAGTGAGTTAGTGAGACAGGGCTCCCAGGAGGATCCTGTAAGAAAATAAAAGAAGTGGGAGTGGGTAGAGCCACAGAGGAAGACAGGACAGCAGTTTCGGCTGAAGAGTCCCCTGCCTGACACCTGAGGGGAGCTCTAGAGCAGCAGAAACATGGGCTTTACACCCTCAGCTTGTCCTTGGTGCGGAAGAGGGGCTTCTCTGGATGAAGAGTTCCTGCAGGGAAGCTCTTTGGAGAGGAACTGAGGAATGACTGGTGGAGCCCAAGGATAGAGTCTGTATTAGTTTGCAATAGCTGTTGTAATGAAATATTACAAGTTGGTGGGAAGAGCAAGAGAAATGCATTGTCTCAGATTTCTGGAGGCTGTGAGTTCCAACTAAAAGTGTTATTCATTGGAGAACGAGTAAAGAATATGCTGCAGGGATTTCCTTGGGTTACAGATGACCATCTTCCTGTTCACATGGTGTTTTATTTTGTGCTTTCTTCTGTATTGAAATCTTTCCTTTTCATGACATTGGTCAGGTTGGATCAGGGCCTTCACCATAGCTTGCTTACTATTGTAAGAAGCCTGTCTCCAAATGAGGTCATATACTAGGGTCCTCGGGTTAGTATTGCAACAACTGACTTGGAAAGGGGCATAATTCAACCTGTAGCAGATCCAACATTAAAACTCAACCACACAGAGATAGAGATAAATATTTCAATCTACACTTAATTGTAGTATATACTCTGCATCCTATGTGAGTAAATAGATTATCTGGAACATCTTTTTCTTCTATATTTTGAAGTGATACTTTGGCAGTGCTTCTTAAGATATAGTCAAGCTCTTCTTAATGATGGGATTGCACTGGGAGGTGGTTGCTTTGTGTCAACAACATAGAATGTGGTTACGCAAACCTTAGTGGTACAGCTGTCTACGTGCCAAGGTGATATTCAATCTATTGCTCCTACACTACAAACCTGGATTGCATATTACTATATACTGAGTACTGCAGGCAACTATAAAACATGGCATTAGTGTATCTAAGTATGGAAAAGATACAGTAAAATACAAATGAAAGATTTAATTCTGGCACATGTATATGGGCACTTACCTTGAATGGAGCAGGCAGCCTTGGCCATTGCTGGGGTGAACAAATACTTCTTTCAGAGTCTTCCAGTGGGAACTGTCTGAGGTTATTTTATAGTTATCTGTTAATTTTTAACATAAATAGAAGGGTTATACTCTAAAGTAATAATAAAAAGTATATTACAGCAAATATATCAACTAGTAACATAGTCATTTATTATTACTATCAAATATCCTGCACTATATATAATTGTATGTGCTATGCTCTTATGTAGCTGCCAGTGCAATAGTTTTATACCCGCACCACCACAAACATGGGAGTAATGTGTTACTCTGTAATGTTAATTTGGCAATATCTCTTAGCGATATAATTTTTCAGCTCCATTATTATCTTATGGAGCCACCAAAGCATATATTGTCCATCGTTGACTGAAACATTGGTATTGTGTCACAGGAGTTTACCACTTACAGTATGGTACCATTTTCAGAGATGAGCTGAGATGATGTGCTTCCTTGAAGGTGTTAGAATTTAGTTTGAGTTGAACTGGTTTCTGACTGTCAAGAATTTTACAAAAGCTGTTTGTGAATTTAGCCAGTGGGTCAGCAGAATCCTTACTTTAAAAGATGATTCCGCTCTTGGATATTACTAGGTGTCAAGGATTTTTAGAGGCTGTGTGTTTCCGTTTCTTCTGTACAGGTTTATTGTGCTTCACCTCTCTTCCATGGTGGACAACAGCCACTTGGTTTCTTTTGTGAAGTCTTTAGAGGAAGCCTTGCTCAGCACTACCGCCTGTGTAGTACTGTCCCACCAGAAGGACAATCCGCACAGAGTGGTTATTGTAGTGGTGCCTTCTAAAAATTTAAACCAAACACTTAAGAACTTGCACTTGGAAGGGTTCAGAGGACTTCCAGAATCATCTCGCCATTTCCAAATAAGAGAAGGAGAACAACTGCTTTTAAGGTTTACTGGAAACATATTTGGTTCGAGTAAGTACAAAGAACTACTTTAATTTATTCTATCAATTTCACAAGTTCATCAAACTCTTATCATGAAGGAAACCTTCAGAGAATTGAGGGGAATTTTTAGGAAGAAGGACAAGAAAGACAACTATTTACTTCTTCATTTGAAGTCTCTTCCTGCTCTATTTGGAGGATACCGGCTCCTTTATGAGCAGACTCCAAGCGACCTTCTTTTGGAGACAGTGTTCTCCACGGTTACTTCCCAAGCCCAACCTGGGGTAATCTCTTTCCTGTCATATTGCCTTATCACCATACAATGCTCCTACTTTACTCTTAGTCACCTGAACTCTCTTCCCATCTAGGGACAGAATGATCTGTTAAAAACATAAATCCTGTGACAGTCTCTATAACTCTGATGTAAAACTTTTCCACTTTACAATAGTACAAAAGCAATGTGTATTCAGTGTGCCTGAACTTTTAATTTTTGAATTTTGATCTTTTCCTGGGCTAGATATATGTGCTATGATATTTTCTTGTCATGCTGAGGTGTAGCAGTGAGCCAAAGCTCCCAGGTAGCCATGGGGTAGTGACAGGAAACAACTGATACTTGACTGCCTACCAGGTTACTAAGCTATGATCTTCAGTGGGTTAAGTGTATTAAATTCATTTTTGATGCATGATACTTCCAACTTGTAGTGGGTTTTCAGGGAAGCAACCCTGACATAAGTGTATCAGCATGTATATATTACTCCTCTGATTAGACCTTGTTATACACTCTATTGTTACTACAATAACTTCCAAAGTTTTCAACATGTTCTACAAGAATTTTACCCAGGGTCAGTGGATTCCGAAGAGCTATTATGTGGAACTATATTCCAGTATAACTGACTCACTTGCATTTTTGTGTATTTTATTTTATGCTTTTAAAAGGCGACTCTCAGAAAGAATCGATAGTTTTCACCAAACTATAATTAGCCATAGTGCAGAAGAGATTAAAGGACCTCAGATCCAGAAGAGATGCCTTCCTCTTCTTCATCTTCATATTTAGCTAGTGTTATTTTTGTTCCTATTATAAGTCTTATCACAATTTAGTTTTTTCCAATTTATAATTTTTCCCTCATATACTCATGTTACAGTCTTCTCTGGAGTGAAATGTCACGAGACAATGCTAACGTCTTTTTTGTCTTATGTTTTCTGAGCTTAGCACATCAAACACTTTCAATAAGTGTACAGTGAATGAATGAGTCTGTAACGATGCTGAGGCAAGCAAGCAGATGATGGCTACGAGGGGTGGTGGGAGAGGTGGGGTGGTGGGGGACAGAGGAGATGAAAGGGTACAACAATTCCCTGCCATTTTTACACTGTATTCTAGAAGTTATATACAGGGAATAAGTAAATGAGTCCGTAAGAGGGAGGGGAAGGATGAAGATGTGATATGTGAATGTACCCACTCCCAGGATGAGTGTATTTATGATACATCACAAACATATACTAATGCAAATGGTAAAGGGATAGAGTTTCAGGAGTGGCAGAGTTGCAGTTTTAAAGTCCCTGGGTAAGAGATGGCAGTGGCTTAGAGGTGGAGGTGGTTATATAGTTTTATAATTGTAAGAATACCCTGAACCAGTGGTTCTCATATGAGTTCTTTTTTCTCTTTTCCTAGTTCTCCATATTGCTAGAACTTTTTCTTCTACATCTGACTTTTTTAAAGTAAAAGAATACATTCTATGTCTGTACTCTCTATGACATCAAGCCATTGAAAAACATCCACTGCTCATTATTGAAAAATATATTGCTATAAAGCACCTAGTAATTCACAAAATATAAGAAAATTTTAGTTTTCTTTATATGACAATTTTTGTTGAGCAGCTGCCACCTGAGGTCCCCACCAGGGCTTATGCACCATAAAGGTTGAGAAAGAGAAAAAGATTCTGAAAAGATCAAATAGTGATCGATCTCATACATTGAGTGTGCAATAAGTGACTTTTACTATTACATCTTTAAATATGCAAGTAAAGGACAACAAATAAAACAGTACAATTTCTTTATATATATGACATGTACCTTTTTCCTAGGGATTAAGGGACTTCAAAATATAGTATTCTATCTTAACAACAATTTAAAAATTTTTATATAATGCTTTCTAGTTATAATGCTGATTACACTATTTATCAACAACCAATCCTCCATAAGTTCATCTTTATTTCTTATATAAATCTGACTTTTAAAGTTGTAATAACAGATCTTTATTTTTAAAAGCTGCCAACCATTGGTAGGTAGGCTTTAGGTCTGAAGTCATCTTCAACCCTTATATTCTTTATATAAATCACCCCTTATGAATAACTGTGCATTGTCAGTCTTTCAAAGGAAGGAAAAATGTACTAAATTTTATTCTATTGAGATCAAAGTACTAACATTTTTCTTGATAGTATTTGAGTAATGGGAAGAGAAACCTTCCATGTGTTACTCCAGTAATCTGAAAATTTAATTTACATTATTTAAAATTAAAATCATATTGTATCAACCCTAAATAATTTATCTTTAATAAAAAAGGGTGAAACTCTTTAAGAAATACTCCTAGCTAGTTTTTTTTCCCTGCACTTAGGTATCAGTTCTGTTCAAGTGCCAGGCTGCCCCTGAAATACAGATTTAGGCAAAGGGGTCTACTCCACTGTCTTTCATGTTCTAGAGCTATGCTGTTGCTTAACTCTGTGTTCAAGTCTATTTGTACACTTAAAGTTCACCAAAATGAACTTTAGTTTCCACCACAAGGAGAAGGATAGTGGTATGTTGTACATCTCTTCCTGAACTCTTCTTTCACTCTGCAAAATGGGAGGTTTTCCATAACATATAGTTCTGGGTGATCAACTTTATGACGCTGTACAGAAGGAGAAAGAAGTTTCAAATCAGATATTAAACCTTCATCTTGTCATTTCTTAAAGATATTAACTGAACTTTTCTAACACAAATACAAGGTAATAAAAATTCTTTGTCATTTGCTATCATTTATTCAGCACTTACCATGTGCGAGGACCTGTGGCAATCACTAAATATCTCGTTTCACTCACAGAGCAATACTAATAGGTAAATTTATTTCCTCCTATTTTAAAGATAAGGAATTTAAAGTTTCAAAAACTGTAAAATAATTTGAAAAATGGTAGGGTGCAGAAAATGATGGAGGCTGGATTTGAACCTAGATCTTTCTTTCCAAAATATATTGTTATAACTGCTACATTTATATTCCTACAAGTTTTTCAAGGGGTGGTAAAGACATATACTACAACACCCCTTCTACTGTTGGAATACCAGAGCAAAATACCTAGCTTGCCCTAGTGAAATCCCTGAAAGTGGAAGGTTATGTTCACAAAAGCTTCAATATTGTCAGTGAGGAACTGAGAAGACCTTTATCTGTGTAATGGTTTTAGAAGCATCCATAACATTTTCTTGGCAGTTTCAGTAACACACATCCAATAACTGGCCCACTTGGATGTTCTGAAACAGTAACATCCATTTCTGCAACTATGAAAATGTTTTATTTCTGTGCTAGTTGATAAGGTAGCCACTAGCCCTGTGGCTAATGAGCATGTTAGGTAGGGTTAGAGTGGCTGAGGAGTTGAATTTTAAATTTTATTTAATTTTAATTAATTTTCATGTAAACTTAAATAGCCATGGTATAAGAAAGTGCGGTACTAGAATGTCTGAAGACGTGATTATGTAAACTGTGATATTAAGAGTGAAGGCAAAGGAAAAAGATCATTCTTGAAGCATGAAGATAATTGTCTGAACATGGAGAGAGCTGAATGTTTCCAATAGTTTCTTGTTCCAGCAAAGTGGAAAAAAATGGAAGATTATTAGATCTAAAATCAGCCAGAAAGCACATGGCCAAATTACAGATGAAAAATCTTTCTAGTAATCTACATTCTCAATCTATTGCATGTCAGGTTATGTGTTGGTAAGAAACAATAATTTATTGCTATAATTGCATTTAAAATGAAATGATTTCTTATGTTTTAAAAAATAAAACAAAATGATGTATCTTAATGGCAATAAATTCATTTTATTTCTACTTAGGCAACGGAAAGGATTATGGAAAAGACCACAGGCTTATTTTCCACTTACAAAGAAAATCCAGGCTGGAACTTCAGATCAAAGAAGTGGATGAATTTGGAAACTATAGCTGCCCTCATTATAAGGGGACAATTGTAGTTTATAAAGTACCCAAAGAAAAGATAATCTCTAACTTGGATCAGTCTTTTGTGTCTAGTGAAAGCCATTATCAGTTGCCAATTTGCAAATTACCATTGAGGTTGCCAAAGGTGAGTTCTTTTACTTTCTCTCATTACCATATTTTGTTAATTCTTTACAGTCCTCCACCCCATCTGTTCTGCAGGCAAATGGATACATAAAGTTAAGAGGAAAGGTAACAGTAAAGTTGAAAAGGAAGGCGTAGGAAGGCCAGCTTCAGAGTGCTAGGGTACATGTTTGGAATTTACCTTCTTCATATCAGTTTTCCTAACAAGAGCAATTCAAATTGATCTGTTCCTCACTGTGTGCTTTTATGACTCTGGAAGTAAGGCCATTCACTTACTGGAACTGCATCTAAATATCTGAGAAATCATTTGTGAAAGCAGTGAATACATTTCAGAGCACATTACTTCAAGGAAAAATCATGGTGAATAGGAAAATGGCATCAAAATATTTTCACTGAGCCTTACCAAATCCCATGTGTTTGACTTATGAGTTAACTACTCTTACCTAATATTCTTACTGTAGTCAGAAAATAGGATTAGTTATTTAAACATATCAAGCACACCATTTAACACATTTTATTGCCATATGTACAATTTCTTTCCAGCACTTGGTACATATAAACTATATTATTAATATGAAATATAATTAAAATTGAATTTTATTACTCTCTAAGAAAACCAAACTTCTTATTCTATAAAGAAAGCTGAAATTATTATTTTCTGGCTTTCATTGTTTGGTTACACATAGCAGAAATGTGTTTTCCATAGATAAACTTTGTACTGATTTTAATAAATCAGCAAAGTAAGTAACTAATTAACAAATATTAATTGAGCTTCTGAGATAGTGAATGTGCTATGCCACGCATTAAGATAAATAAAGAGCGGTAGAGTACAACACACGTCCTAAGGCTGCATTGGTTCAGAATGGTAGTCACCGTTCACATGTAGCTATCATCAAACAATAAGGCTCATCTGAAGTGAGATGTGCTATAAGTACAAACTATGCACTAAATTTTTAAAGACAGTACAAAACATGTATAACTTCATTTATATTGATTACATGATAAATTTTATAATATTTTGGCCATATCTGGCTCAATAAAGCATTATTAAATTAATTTTGATTCCTATTATCTTTTTTTATGTGTTCAATAGAACGTTATAAGTGTCTCAAATTATATCTCTGGTACAGTACTCTTTAAATGAATTTATAACCCAACTTGTACACAAAATTATATTACACGATAGTAACTATTATAGCATGATATAAACAATGTATCAATAGTTGCTCAGAGGAAAGAAATGGCTTTTTTGGAAGCTAAACACAGTAGAAGTTTTGTGGTGATTGTGGCATTTTATCTGAGCTGTGTAAGTTGGTAGGAATTTGGCAATTGAATTCCTGCCAAGTTAGGGTGAGGAATGGAATGTATTTGATTGGTATGGTAGGGATAGTTTAGCAGAAAGCCACACAATTTCATACTTCAAGTAAAAACTATTATAATAACTTTTCACATGCTGAAAAGTCTTTCAAGGGTTTTGTATGCACTGTGCATTAAATCCTCACAAAAATCTCACAGTGCCTCATCAAACTGAAGTTAGCCTTAGTGCAGAGAAGCAGGCTCCTGGAGACACTAACTATTTACCAGCTAGTGTGAGGGAGACTTTGGGGTTCCTGGGAGGCTCATGTAGGGTGGTAGAATCTACTAACCAAGTAATTTCCAAACTTTTTGTCACCAGAGTATCACGGAAGATATTTTTTCCATGGTGCGGGGTGTAGTTTTGGAATGATTCAAGGATACTACATTTATTGTGTACTTTATTTCTCTTATTATTATTATGTTATGTATTTTATTTTTATTATTACATTAGAGTCTCCTCAGGAGCATGCAACCTGGATCCCTCACATACTTAGCTCACAGTAGTTCCTGCTCCTATAACAAGTTAATGCTTCCCCCATCTGCCAGGAGGCAGAGCTCAGGTGGTGACGTGAGCCATGGGGAGTGACTGTAGATACAGAGGAAGCTGCCTGCTGTCCTGCTGCTCACTCCTGCTGTGCACCTAGGTTCCTATTGTGCCTAGAATGTGGTTTGGGGCCCTCTGTGTTAAACCAGTGGTGCTAAGCATAATGGCATTTTCATAATAGTATAGCCGGGTTAGTGTATCCGCTCTCACTATTGTGCTTTCTTCCCCCTCATAGTTACATGGCTGATCGTGCTTTTAGTTTTAATTTATTATATATTTAGTTATTTTAGTTTTATTTCATTTTTAATTGGTACATAAGAATTGTACAGATTGGGCTAGGATGTAACTCAGTGGTAGAGTGTGTGTTTAGCACATGCAAGGCCCAGGTGGGAGGGAGGAAGGAAGGAAGGAAGGAAGGAAAGAAGGAAGGAAGGAAGAAAAGAAGGAAGGAAGGAAGGAAGGAAGGAAGGAAGGAAGGAAGGAAGGAAGGAAG